AAACTGTTGCCAATGTTGTTGCTGCTGTTGCTGATATTGTTGCTGAGTAGCAAACATTTGTTGTTGATAATGTTGTTGTTTTTGTTGTTGTTTTTGTTCTGTCTCTGAATTCCCGAGACTGATGACTGATTCATCAATAGGACAGATTTGGCATAGGTTGTTGAAAACTGTTGGCTGCGTTGGATTGAAAGACGATGCCTGCTGCTGTTGCTGTTGCGGAAACACGTAGTTGTGCTGCTGAAAGTGTTGCGGTTGTTGATATTGTGGTTGTTGATGTTGAGATTGTTGCTGTGGTTGTTGTTGAAACTGTTGTTGTTGGTGGTGTAGAGGTGAAAAGAGTGTCATTGTTTGTTGAGGCGATTGAACTCGCTGCTGATTTTCTTGCTGCTGTTCACGCTGTTGTTGCTTTTGTTGTTGTTGTTGAATATAAAACTGCTTTTGTTGCATTTGTTGAAATTTTGTCGGAGATTTGTCTCCGTGACCCGCTGATCTTGAACTGACCGGAGGATTCGCAGCGATTTGATTGGCTGGCCTCACGGCTGCCGCCCCTGATAGATGTTGAAACGATTGTTGAGACGATTGTTGAGACGATTGAAAGTTTTGTTGGTACTGGTTGAAATGACTTTGTCCGGCAGCTAATTGTTGAGATGATAGCGAATCACTTTGCGTCTGGTGACTCTGTTGTGGGAACTGTTGTGGTTGAAAATTCTGCTGATGATGTTGTTGTTGCTGATGTTGTTGCTGATGATGTTGTTGCTGATGTTGGCTCGGATACGAATAAGAATAAGAATAGGTGGGAGAATGTTGCGATGTGATGTGAGTTTGACGAGGGAGGGCCTGCTGGTTCGTGAAAGGGCTGTTGCTCGAGTAGGACACCGTCACTTGCTGCTGGTATGGATTTTGAAACTGCTTCATGTACATCGGTTGCTGATAATGTTGCTGCTGCTGCTGATGCTGATGATGCTGATGACGATTTTGTTTTTGAAACAAATGCTTGCGCCGCTGCGGACTGATCTCCGTAGAGAAGCCGTTCTCAGACGAGTAGTGCATTGTGGCTGGTTTGAACGACGACAACGTAGCTGCTGCTGCTGTTGAATCGAAGTTGGCGACGATCGGTGGATGTCGTTCAGCTTGATATGGACTCTTGCCGGGAAGGTTTTGAGAGCATTTAAAATTTTTTGAGCAAGTTAGGATTGGCGAACTTTCCCCATCGGCCGTCAAACAGTCCCCCCCGTGGGCGCCGGTAATCAAGCTCGGCTTAGCTGCTTGTTGGTGCTTCAGCAGTTTGTAGCGGCTGCTTCCTAAATGTTTCTTGCTGCTCGACCAGTTGTTGTTGCCGTACTTCAAATTGTTTGTGGCCAAGGAGTTGCAGCTGTAGCGATTCTTGATCGGTTTAACGGTATCGGAGAGGTGGGAGTAACTGTGCTGTAGGTACTTGCGGGCGACCGGCTTGTTGTTGTTGTTGATCTGTTTCTCGGCGAAGTCTTCGTTGAAGCGAGGTGGCATCAACATCGAGTAGCCGTTGCTGTAGCTGCTGCTGCAACTTTGGTAGTAGTCGCCAGAAGAGCTGCTGTCACTGTTTCGAAGCGACGTTAACGAGGATGTTGGTCTGAAGTAAGTGGGACTGTCGCGAATGTCGTGCGTGTGGTAGTCGCCCACTTCATCGTTTTGTTGCAGTTTGAAGCGGTAGTCGCTGCTGCAAGCCGATTTGTGGCGGTGATGGTCGCCGCTTCTGCCAATTTTAGCGTAACGTGCCTGACTTATTTTCATATATAAGATTTGTCCTGCACAGAATCAGGCTTGTACGTAGAAGGAGCTCGTGAACTTGGTATTAGCAGTTGCAGCAGATGAATTTCTAATTAAAATATATGGTATCTAAGATGGGTTGGATCACTTCGAATGTTTCATAGAACTTTTAGCTTAATTGCGCGCAAAAATTTGAATTGATTCATTGAACGTGATACTATATCACAGTGGTGCAATCAACCACTTCTCAATCTTAAAAGGTTATCTTATCGTTATTTATATATATCATTGATGATACCATTTAGCTATCTTCTATCATGCTAAAACAACCTTAACCGACCATAATATTGTGTTAAGAGATACTCTAGAGAGAGTTCTTTAATATCTTAAATACCAAAAATGTAAAATTGACTCGAAAAATATACGAATAATCAATAAATTAACTTACATGTGTAAATATAAAAAACGCCAGAGTGTTATCAGCTGTTTGTTTATATTGACCCATACGTTGTTATAGCAATTATTACGATCAATTATTTACATATGAATAAATATTCGTACAGATGAATGAATAAATTAAATTAAATCAATTATTTTTTAATAATTTTTTTTTTATTAAAACAAATAAAAAAGAAACAAAAAAAGAGTGATGGGTTGTGGAAAGAGTTTGGAAAAATCCATGCGAAAATTTATTTTTAAATGAAGCGTTATAAAAATTTATCAATTTATATAGCCATTATATATAGATATAAATATACACTGTATATTTACTATCATCAATATATATATATATATATATATATATATATATACAATATGTAAATACAATATGTAAATATATGTCTAAATATAAAATGTCATTTGTGATAATAAAAACGAATATGAAAACGCAATAATAATAATAATAATAATAATTATTATTATTATTAATTATGGTTTTATTTACTCTTCAGTATATTAAAAACTACATACACGTACATTCATAGATACACAAAAACACACAAACACACACACACAAACACTGTTAATTTCAAATAATTAGTACAGCTTACTCATAACAATGCATAAAGGTTTATTATTATAATAATAACGGATTTAAAGGGTAACATTAATTAAGCGCATAATAATTACAGTAGCTAGAAGTGAAACGAAATACAAGAAGGAATGGGCGGATGTCATTTTTGTAGCGCCGGCAACAATGAAAATCTGAAGGTCGTTGGTGTAGGGATCGGCGCCGGTCGAATAGCGCTGAGGACAGGAATCCCCTGCGATGATGATGATGGTGATGATGATAATGATGTTGTCGATCATGATGATAATGATGATAATGGTGATGATGATAATGATGTTGTCGATCATGATGATAATGATGATGATGGTGATGATGATAATGATGTTGTCGATCATGATGATAATGATGATGATGGTGATGATGATAATGATGTTGTCGATCATGATGATAATGATGATGATGGTGATGATGATAATGATGTTGTCGATCATGATGATAATGATGATGATGGTGGTGGGGCCGGTGTGATGGCAAACGACTTCCAATACGGAGATGAGAGAATTTCTATGAATTCACCGTATTTCAACAATCAACATCACCATCGTCATCATAACCACACCCATCATCATCATAACCGCACCCATCATCATCATAACCACACCCACAATCATTATCGTGATCATCGTCCCCATCAACATCATCACCGTCATCCACTCACATAATCTCTCGCTCTCCTTAAGGACAAGCCCCAGACTGGCCCCGGTCTGCGAGTTGTAGCTGTAGGCCGTCTGCTGTGGGGCGCAGGCCGCCTTGATGGCCCTCGAAGCGTAAAGGTCGCGCCAGTCTTTGCGTTCGTACACCTTGAAATGATGATAAGGAGGAGAAGGAGGATGACGAAGATGGAAGGAAGATGATGATGATATGATGATGACGGTCATGATATGATGATGATACGATATGATGATGATACGATATGATATCATATATATGATATGATGATGATTACGCCCACCACAACCATCATCATCTTTTTTCAATCATCATCATCTTCTTCTCTCTCCATCATCATCATTCTCTCTCCATCATCATCGTCGTCGTCGTCATCGTACCCAGCATCTGAAGTTCGACACGGCGTCTTCCATGTCATAGGTGACCATGTAAGACTTCATGTCCTCCAACCAGTACCCGACGCAGAACAACTGCCTGTCTGGAATGTCTGCATAGAGGGAGAAAGAGGGAAGGAAAGAGAGAGATAAAAAAGAGAAATAAATGAATGACAGAATGACAGAATGAATGACAAAATGAATGAATGAATGAATAAATGAATGAATGAATGAATTAATTAGTTATTGAATGAATGAATGAATTAATTAATGAAAGAAGGAAAGAAAAAACGAAGGAGAATGTGTGAACGAAACACTCAGAGAAAGAAAGAGAATCAATCAATCAACCAATCAATCAATTAGTTTATAAATCGTTATTTCTTCGATGTTTAACAGCTCGCTCCTCAATGAATTTTTCAAAAAGATGGGTTTTGAAATCCGCTCTGAACTTCGCAAGTGATGGAGAAGTAGTCAGAGAAGGAGGGAGAGAGTTCCAGAGAAAAGAGCCAGAAAAAGCAAGTGCAGATTTAGCAAGAGAGTGTTTGTTTAACTCGTGTTAAGAAGTGAGAACAAGAAGACGATCGTAAACCGGGGCGTTTAGGTTCAATTAATGTATCTGATAAGTACTTAGGAAATAATTTAGATCGAGACTTACTTATACATAAATGTGCAAATTTTAAAAATTATTCTATATTTTATAGGTAGCCAGTGCAAGAGAACAAGATATGGGATATATAAGAAAAGAAAGGGGCACGAGCAACTAGACGAGCAGCAGAGTTAAAAGCTTTTCTTAAAAGATAGAGTGTAGAATCAGGAAGACCAAAATAGAGAATCAAGAAAACCAAATTAATTCAAATTCAGAATAAGACCAAGCGATAATTGAAGAAAGACATGGAGAAAGATTATGAAGAACACTATTAAGTCAAGAGCAAGAAGAAGAGTGAGATTACTATTGTCAATAGAGAGAAGGATATCATGATGTATTTTGAGCAAAGAAGTTTCAATACTGTGAGCAGGTCTGAAACCAGAAAGTCAAAATTAGAAAGAGGAAATACCGAACCGTATTCGGAAATGGGTTTTCCGGTGTGGTCGAGGGTGGCGCAGTACTCGGCGTCCACATAAATCCACTTCGGGAAGCTGTCGCACGATTTCAACTCGGAGACGTATTCGTGGCAATCAATCATGTGGCGAGGTCTTTCGGTTATACCTGTGTGTTTGTGTTGTTTGTTTGTTTGTTTGTGTGTTTGTTTGAGATTGTTTGCTAGTTTGTTTGTTTGTGTTGTGTGTGTGGTGGTTACAGCAGCAGCCACAACAGCCACAGCAGCAGCAACATTACTACCTCTGATGCGTGTTTGGTAGAACTCATTTCTATCTCCAACTTGAGTGAAATTGTAACGACCCCCGATGGGGCACGGAACTGGGGAAGGAGGGTTCACTGGTGATGGTGATGATGATGATGTTAGTGGTGGTGATGATGGTGGTAATGATGATGATGACAACGATGATGACGGTGACGCGCCACGCACGCACACACAAACGCGCACCGCCAAAAAGTCGGAAATCACAGCAAATCAAATCCCAACAACCACATAATTTTTATTATTATCATCATTATAATAATAATAATAATTATTATTATTATTTGTATTATTATTATAATTATTATAATTATAATTATTATTATAGTCCCCCAAAAAGCCCCCACCATCCCCACTAACGTATGAAGGTGTAGTACCTCCATGCCGTGTCATCTCTATTCAGCGTGAAGGCACTCCAGGTACACGTCTGCCTGAAGATCCTCTCCTTTGAGTCCGGGGCCTTAGACTGAGCCAAGGTCAATCTGTAGGGTTTGCCTGGAATTTCAAGGTCAAGTCAAGGTCAGAGGTTATTTTGATGTGGGGTGTAAGTTATTTTTTTTTAATTTTACGGCTGTTTTTGTTTGTTTGAGTGTTTAAAGGATGATTTGTTTGCTTGTTCGTGCGTTGGTTTATTCGTTGATTTATTCCTTCTTTCCTTCCTTCCTTCCTTCCTTCTTTCATTCATTCATTCATTCATTCATTCATTCATTCATTTATTCATTCATTCATTCATTTGTTCGTTCGTTCGTTCGTTCATTCATTTCTTCAACTTACTCATCCTCCATCTGATGATGTTGTGATGACGTGGCATGAAAGCAAAACAAACGTAATCAACTTCGCTGAATGAATGAATGAATGAATGAATGAATGAATGAATCAATCAATCAATCAATCAATCAATCAATCAATCAATCAATCAATCAATCAATCAATCAATCAATCAATCAATCAATCAATCAATCAATCAATCAATCAATCAATCAATCAATCAATCAATCAATCAATCAATGAGTGAACAAATGAATCAATGAATGAATTAATTAATACATAACATAAGTACGAATTAACTAACTGGCCACGTAGATGTGAATTAGAAAAAACGTTGAATGAATAAACAGAGTAGCAAACTATAAATCGTCGTCATCATCATCATAATTTTCATCATCATCATAATTTTTATCATCGCCATCATCATAAGTTTCATCATCATCATTATCATCATCATCAGATTTGATGAGAGAATGAAAGAGAGAGAAAGAGAGAGAAATAAAAGAATAAGAGAGAGAGAGAGAGTGAGGAAACGAAAAAACGAATCATTCCTCCTCACCATCTTCCGATTGTAACTGCTGTCACGAGGTACCGATTGTCTCGGTTCTGCTGGCAGGCGAATACCGACTCTCGGTAAGTATACTGATCGAGTTTCGTCTTGAAATAAATGTGAGTGACGTTGATTTTGACGTCAGAGTCGAACTCGGCAGTGGTGAACCAGGTGCCGGTGAAGTTGCGCGGAAAGTTGCAACTGGGCGTCACCATGTCAACACCGTATACATCCATGCCTAAACTGCCTGTGGGCGTGTACGTGTGTGTGTTTGTTTGTTAGAGTGTGAGTACGTGTGTGTGGATGTTTGTTTGTTTGTGTGTGTGTGAGTGTGTGTGGATGTTTGTTTGTTTGTGTGTGTGTGTGTGTGTTTGTTAGTGTGTGAGCACGTGTGTGTGGATGTTTGTTTGTGTGTGTGTGTGTGTGAGTGTGTGTGGATGTTTGTTTGTGTGTGAGTGTGTGAGAGAGAAAGAGAGAAAGAACACAAGAAAGAAAAAGAGAGAAAAAGAGAAATCTTATCACTGAAATAAAAATATATTATTTAATAGTTAACGTTCATCATTGTCGTCATTAATAATTCAACCGACCAACCAACCAACCAATCAGCCAATCAACCAGCCAACCAACTAGCCAACCAATCAACCAGCCAATCAACCAACCAGCCAGCCAATCAACCAACCAGCCAACCAACCAACCAATTAGCTAATAACCAACCAACCAACCAGCCAGCCAACCAACCGACCAACCGATATAAGCTGGCCACATTTTAAGCCTGATGGGACCATCGTAGGGACTCCTTAGAGAGGAACACTCGGCCCACCTGCTCAGGGCATAATATCTCGTGTTGTCAGCGTACTGCTGGTCTGTTCTCGTCAGCTGGCGGTGAATGAATGAATGGATGAATGAATGAATGGATGAATGAATGAATAAATAAATGAATGAATGAATGGAAGAATGGATGAATGAATGAATGAATGAATGAATGAATGAATGAATGAATGAATGAATGAATGGATGAATGAATGGAAGAATGGATGAATGAATGAATGAATGAATGAATGAATGAATGAATGAATGAATGAATGAATGAATGGATGAATGAATGAATGAATGAATGGATGAATGAATGGATGAATGAATGAATGGATGAATGAACAAATGAATGAATAATAACACTGACCATGCATCTAAACCTCATCCTATACTTGACCTCACCGATATCGGCCATCGCCGAAAATATATTTCCGTTCTTATCCACCCACGTCCCCATGCACTGGAACCTTATCTCTGGTGGCGACGATGATGGTGGTCGTCATCGTCGTCGTCCTCTTCATCGTCACCGTCCTCATCATCATCGTCATCATCATCATTGTCATCGTCCTCAGAAATCCAAAACGTAATAAGAATAATAATAATAACTCTCCATCATCGCCATCATCCTTATCATCGTCATCATCTTCCTCATCATCGTCGTCGTCATCGTTCTCATCATCATCATCGTCCTCATCTTCGTCATCATCGTCCTCATCATCACTTCATCACTAACTTTGATTGACAGACGAGGAAACGCTGGGACACTTGCCAAAGTTGATGGTGAAGACCTGGTTGTCCAAGTAAACTGAGCCCGGCTCTTGGCAGGCCACAATGGCCGATCTGACCACAATCATCATCATCATCACTATCATCACCATCATCATCATTTTCATCGTCGTCATCATCATTGTCACTATCATTATCATCACCATTAACATCATCATCATTGTCACTATCACCATCATCATCCCTATCATCATCATCCCCACTATCATCATCATCATCATCATGGGCACCTGGGACTGGAGCAGATGCTACCCCCACCCTCGTCGACCTCGTACGTGAAGGAGAAGGTGCCCTCCCATGTCGTCTTGCAGTTCACCGTCTTCAAGGCAGTCCCTGAAGGAAGGAAGGAAGGAAGGATGGCGTGAAAATGAATGACGGAATGAATGAATGAATGATGGATAGGCGAACCATAAATGAATGAATGATGAAATAATGGATGAATGAAGGAATGAAGAAAGAATGGAAAAGAGTAAATGAATAATTAAGTAATCTAATAGAACGTTTTATCAAATGAATGAATTAATGAATGAACGAGTTCACGCATGAACGAAAGAACGAATGATTAAATAAATAGATGAATGAATAAATAATTGAATGAATAGATGAATGAATGAATGAATGATCAACAGAACGAATGAACGAAAGAATGAATGAAACCCACTTACTGAACCATGTAATAACACCAGAATTTGGAGCTATTGTAGCACAAGTTCTCTCCAACTTATCAGAGGCTCTTGAATCCATAGTCTGGCAGACCGCTGTGGTAATAATTTTTTTTTTTTCAAATAAATGAGTGACGATTATTATATATTATTATATATTATATGATAAATATTAGTATTATAGTAGCAATTGTAGTAGCAGTAGTAGCAGCAGCAGCTGCAGTAAAAGTAATATTAGTATTTTAGTATTTGTAGTAGCAGTATTAGTAGAGGTAGTTGTAGTAAAAGTGGTAGTAATTGTAGTAGTAGTAGTAGTAGTAGTAGTAGTAGTAGTAGTAGTAGTAGTAGTAGTGGTGGTGGTAGTGGTGGTAGTAGTAGTAGTAGTAGTAGTAGTAGTGGTAGTAGTAGTAGTAGTAGTAGTAGTGGTAGTAGTAGTAGTACTCACATTTTCTGTACTGTAGTATGTTGGGAGTTTTGTACAAAATTTCGTAGCACACATAACAGTTCGAACCTCTGGTTGGTCAGTAGGTTTGAATTAAGTTATTTGATTGGTTGGCTGGTTGGTTGCGCAGTTTGAATGGTGGGATTTGATTGGTTGGGAGTTTGAATAATTTGATTTGATTGGCTGGGCGGCTTTAAAATGATGCGATTTGATTGTATGATTTGATTAAAAACTATATAACAGTACGATCATAATCATCACCAACATTATTATCATCATCATCATTATCATCACCTTAATCATCCACACAACCACTGTCACAATCCCCACCACCATCACCACCACCACCACCACCACCATCACCACCACCACCACCACCACCATCACCACCATCACAATCACAATCACAACTCACGAGATGTACATGAGGTACATGCCATCAAAGTTGCCCTCCTTATCTATGGTTTCATTTTGGGGCTTGACCTCCATCAGCTGAGCCCCGGCAGTGTACCTGTTGGTCAGGGACGTCTCCGTTATCGTCGTCAACGTCTCCTCATCCTCGATGGAGAACCACACGGAGACTACGAACTGTGGAAACTTTATGAACTGGTCTGCCGCTGTTTGATTGGTTGGTGAGTTGATTGATTGGTTGGTTGGTTAGTTGATTGGCTGATTGATTGGTTGGTAGGTTGAATGGTTGATTGATTGGTTGGTTGGTTGATTGCTTAGTTAATTGGTGGATTGATTGGTTGGTTGGTTGATTGGTTAGTTGATTGGTTGGTTGGGTGAAGACGCGGAGAATTCGTTGATTGGTTGAATGTGTGGAGTTGGATTCGTTGATTGGTTGCTTAAACAAAGGTGTTTATTGGTTAGTTGAGTGATTGATTTGATTGGTTGGTCTTATGATCGGTTCTGTGATTGGTCGAATGCTTTCGGTTGATTGATTGACTGATCAATTTGATTGGTGGATTAGTAAAATCATTGACAAACGAAGTGATAAATTAACCAAAAATTCTAAATAATAATAAAAAATTATTTATTTAAAAATATAAAATTATTTCAAATCTGAAAAAAACTGACCACTCATCTTCTCAACAATGAAACCGCTGAGTAAAACAAACGAAGCGAGACAAACAAACAGCCGATTTCTCGTCATAATTAGTATAATTATATTAATTATTCTTATAATTTAATAATAATTTAAATATATTATTTATATAATAATTAAGATTAGTAATAATTTATTATTTAACTAATAAACGATCGCATGCAATTTATTTGCATAACTATCCAGACCGACATTATTACATTGTCATTGTTATAATTATAATAGAATACTAACTAACATACAAACAAAGTAAATTTACAATACAATACAATCGACTGTAATATGGTAATCTAAGTTTGTAATTCGGTAAGTATGTAACCAGAGTTAAGCAATTCTGAAAATTATTACTACTGCTTTTGTAATAGTAGTAATATGTTTAGACGAACAAACAAGCATGTTACGTATATACATTCATACATACATAAATACATACATACATACATACATTCATTCATACATACATACATACATTCATTCATACATACATACATACATACATACATACATACATACATACATACATACATGCATACATACATACATACATACATACATACATACATACATACAAACATACATACATACATGCACACATATATACATTAGCAATACAGGTGTTTGGTACAGGTAGATAGCTTATGATGAACGCACGTGAAAATATTTCAGGATTAGTAATCAGTCGCCGTATATTTGTTTGGTTTTACTTGTTAAATTAATTATTTAATTAAATAATTAATTTTCTTATATATATATCAATTTAATTTTTTAACTTACTTTTTATTAATTAAATTTCATTAAATAAATTAATTAAGCAATAAAATAGATAAATGAAACATCAAATAGAGTTAAATTATCTGACAGCGATTTTGAACACAAGCAAATGTATGATGATGATGATGACGACGACGATGATGACGATTATGATGATGAGGATGATGAGGATGATGATGGTGGTGACGTCATTTTAGGGATTTAAACATTTCTATGAAACTCTTCAATGGCTCGTCGAGAGGTAGCTAAGAAAAAATATACATGTTTGAAACTCGTACGACAGCTTGAAATGAATTTGAAAGAAAATTTGAAACTTGAAATTTGAAGGCCTGAAACTTTCAAAAGACATTTAAAATATTGTCTCATGGATTTTATTATATATATATATACATATATATATATATCGGTAACAAATTTTCATTTAAGCATATTCATA